CAACATTCTACTACCACAGGCAGGACTCACACCAGGGACAACATTCATACTACCACAGGCAGGACTCACACCAGGGACAACATTCTACCACCACAGGCAGGACTCACACCAGGGACAACATTCTACCACCACAGGCAGGACTCACACCAGGGACAACATTCTACTACCACAGGCAGGACTCACACCAGGGACAACATTCTACCACCACAGGCAGGACTCACACCAGGGACAACATTCTACACACGCAGGACACACCAGACAACATTACAAGGCAGGACTCACACCAGGGACAACATTCTACTACCACAGGCAGGACTCACACCAGGGACAACATTCTACTACCACAGGCAGGACTCACACCAGGGACAACATTCTACCACCACAGGCAGGACTCACACCAGGGACAACATTCTACCACCACAGGCAGGACTCACACCAGGGACAACATTCTACCACCACAGGCAGGACTCACACCAGGGACAACATTCTACACCACAGGCAGGACTCACACCAGGACAACATTCTACTACCACAGGCAGGACTCACACCAGGGACAACATTCTACCACCACAGGCAGGACTCACACCAGGGACAACATTCTACCACCACAGGCAGGACTCACACCAGGGACAACATTCTACCACCACAGGCAGGACTCACACCAGGGACAACATTCTACCACCACAGGCAGGACTCACACCTGGGACAACATTCTACCACCACAGGCAGGACTCACACCAGGGACAACATTCTACCACCACAGGCAGGACTCACACCAGTACCTTACCTCTGATATATGTTCAAGAGTTTTTCTACTAACGGAGCCAGACCCTGGATCAGGCTTGCCTGGTGCTTCCCTGGTCAACCAGGCTGTTGCTCCTGGCAAGTCGCTGCCCCACATACCCATCACATCCTGCTTGATTTAGCACTTAATGATAGCTTTTTTACACATATTATTTTACAAGTTAAGGCCTGTTATCCCACGTTTCCAGCTGTGTGAGCTGAGTACGCTACCTCTTGAAATCTTTTCCACTAGTTTCAGGAGTGTTTCTGATATCGTCTAGAATTACATATGTTCATACAATGTTCTCTTACAGTGATCACGGCGCACCTTCTTTTCAATGGGTTTATTTTACACTTCCTCCCATATCTCACTCTAGAATGTTCGGGCAGTGTGTAGATTGGAGAGCAGGTCCTCAAGTACTTTCCACGTATATATTATCAAGAAAGCTCAACGATTTCAATTGTCACCATTGGCATTGTTTCCCTTGCTCTGAAAGTTCTCATTATCCATCCCGTTATTTTCCTGGCTGTCGTGACATTTGCCTTATTGTGTTCTTTAAAAGAAAGGTCAGCCAACATAATTACTCTCAAGACTTTCAAGTTTTCCTTTCTTTACATTTGACGATCTTGGGTTTGTATGCAATTTCCCATTTGAGTTCTTCATTCTTTCCATACCTAAGCAGCTGGAACTTATCACCAGTGAACGTCATGTTGTTCTCCACTGCCCACTGGAAAACCCTGCTTATATCTTCGTGCAGTTTTTCCGTGTGTTCTACCGAGATGATTTTCATGCATATTTTGGTATCATCCGCAAACGATGATACAAAATTGTAACGAGTGTTTTTATTTATGTCTACTATAAAGGAAAAGAGGTGCCAAGACCATGCGTTGGGGAACTGAGCATTTTACCTCACTAATGCTGGATTTTACTGTTTGCTCCTACCTTCTGTGTTCTATCTCACAGAAAGTTAAAAATCCATCTGTCTACTTTCTCAGTTATGACTATGGTCCTCATTTTGTGTGCAATCACCGCATGATCGCAAATGACAAACGCCTTCGGAAAATTCTTGTATATCGCATCTGTGTTTTGGTTTTCTTCCAACTCCTGCGTAATTCTGCCATATTGGTTAAATAGCTGTGACAAACATTATTTCCCAGTTCTAAAACCTTGTTGGTTTGGGTTGTGCAGGTTGCGTCGTTCTATAAAATTTGTAGTATGGCGTCTCATTACTCTTCCGAAGACTTTTATATGTGATGATACTGCTACTAGTCTGTAATTTTTGGCTAGCGCTCTACTGCCTCCTTTATGCAGAGGAGCTATGTCCGCATTCTTAACATGGCTGGGTTTTAACCTAGATCTAATCTTTTTCTCCAAACGATATCGAGTGCTCCTACTAGTGGTAATCTGCACAATTTTATAAATAAGGAATTGCACGAATCCGGTCCAGATGCAGACTGAATGGGCAGGTTTTCTATTTTTTTTTCCAATTGCTAATGTCAGATATTTGACCTGCTGCAAGGCCTTTAGATGAAATGAAAAAATTTTCTGCATTCTACACCCTGCTGTCGTTTAGTGGGTTGCTGAACATCGACTCATACTGGAGTTTTAGGTTTTCGCTCATTTCCTATTCATCATCCGTGTATAAACCTCCTGTGATTAATGATCCAATCCTACAGGTAGTTCTTAGCTTGGATTTTTGAATGTTTAGAAATATATATTTTTTCCATTATCTTGGATGATTCTTTGTTCCCTTTGCGGTTTTTCTGTCTAGTACAACAGCTTAAGTTTTTGTTTTACCTTGGTGATCTCTCCGCTAAGATTATTTTTCCTCCGTTGTGACATACTCACATTATTAAGCAATTCTAGGTTTTCTCAATGGTACATATTTGATGCAGACCCTGTACGCTTCTGTGTTCAGCTTTTCCAAGCACTGGTTGAGATTTTAGGTGACCATGACTGTTAACCAGGATATGTCGGATAGTTCTTTATTAATTTTGTCCAAGTCATTTCTGTGACTGTTGTAGCTAAATTTACTAAACATTCCTTCTCGTACATTACCACTGGAGTTCCCCAAACCTGCGTTTATGTTTGCTTGTACTTATATAATATTGTGACCAGAGTACATTGATTTTGTTATTGTTGTGTCTGATTAGTTCCTCGCTGTCTGAAAGATTAAATCCAGTATAGTTTCATTTCTAGTGGGTTCTGTAATCTGTTGGTTTAATACAAACCTTTCACTCAGCTCCATTAGCTTCCAGGTATGTACCAGATGAGCTTGCGTGCTTCTAGACATTATTTGTAGTAAATGCTGAGATCAAGCATCTTCCATTTTATATTTGGGAGATTAAAATTTCCAAGGAGGATAATATTTGGTGTGGGTTTTTCAAGCCTTTCAAGTCAGCCATATATAGTGATAGTCATGGCATTATGCCGCCCCTCTCCCACACACGTGCCAAAACACAAACTTATACCATGAAAGATTATAATATATATATATATTTGCACACTTACTGAGGTTTTAATACTTGTGCTGCATCCTTTACGCTTAATCACGTCCTTCAGTCGTGTAGGAAGACTCTCACAAATTCTTGAGGGTTTGGGGCGGTATTTTAATCCATGCCTCACGTAGAGCAGCCTCCAGCCACGAGATGGAACTGATATCCTTGTCCAGTAAACTTTGTTTCATTAGTGACCAGAGGTTCTCAATAGGGTTTAGGTCTGTGGAATTGCCTGACCAGTCACTGAAGAACCTCACTTCACAGTCCTTAAGCCACTGAACTACAGATTTAGCAGTATGGCACGGTGCACCATCTTGCATAAAAACCGTAGCCCCACACTGGTCAAAAGCCTCAAGTAAATTGACAAACAATAACTTCAGGTAATCACACTGGTTCATATTCTGGTTTTTGGGAAGCACAATGAATTCACCAACATTCTGAGCACTGAAACACCCCCAAACCATGAGTGAGTCTGGGTGTTTGGTGGTCCCACAGGTGTAGCGTGGGACTAGCGTGTCACTACCTCTGGGCCGGTACACATGTGCCCCACGGTTACAGGTGACGGTGAAGGTTGCTTCATCATTCCAAAGTACTTCCGACCACTGTTGAGGATTCCAGTGAAGATATTTCTTTGCATAATCCAGCCTACATTTCTTCTATGGCTTGGAGAGGATCGGTTTCCTAACCTGGCGGTGACTACTGTAGCCCAGTTCTAACACACGTCTGTTAACAGTTCTTACAGACACCTATGAGAGAAGATGTGGGTTCTTTACTTTCAATTCTCTAGTAGTTATCTTAGGTGTACTCTCTAACTGCTTCTTTAACACAGTTAAGGTACGAACAGATGTCTTCCTCGAGGGGTCAGGCTGAGGTTCGGCAGACGGTAACTCAACACCGCCACCAGCCTTGAAATGCTGCACCCAGTTCCTCAATGAACGCTCACACACACCAACATTCTCCACTATTTCTTTCGTCTGGTGCCCAGCTTTGTAATGCCCTATGATTTGAGCTATAGTTTCAGGTGTTAAAGACTTCCTTTTATCCATAGTCAACACTGTATAGCCCCAAAACCAAAGGAAACACCGGACAAAAGATGGGGTGAATGAGAGACAAAAATACAACACTTCCTCACCACGGCAGCCACGTGAGCACTGAGGAATCACTGTGGAGTGTGGTGGCAGGCTGTGACGTCATGCTAACGGCTGCTACCCGGCATAATGCACTGATGAAAAAAGACCCCCCCTGTATGGTAGACCTTTGATTTTCGTCACGGCATTATGCCGCGGCGCTTACCCGGCATAATGCCGTGACTAGCACTGTATCTTCTTTAGCTGATCCGTGAATTCCTCAGCCACTCATGACGGTGGTTCATATATAATTTCCAGATTCCCATTTTCCACTTTAATACTCGTAACTTCTACTATATCATTTGATGAATTCTACAATTCTGTGCAACAAAAAGTGTCTTTCAAGTAGTCCTACTCCTCCCTGTGATCTATTAACTGTGTCGCTTCTATACATTTAGGTTATATCGTTATTTTACCGTCAAAACCTCTGCGACAGAGACGACTCACTACCACATACAAAGAGAACTCATCACAACAAAGACTTATTACCACAGACAAAGAGGACTCACCACCACAAAGACTCACTACCACAGACAAAGAAGACTCATAACCACCAAGAGGATTGACTCATCAATATAAAAGAAGACTCACCATTACACGTTAACCATGCTTCTGTACGGGAAGGTCTGCCGGCCAGCCTGTGGAGAAGAAAACAATTGTGAGATAAAACACTTAGATATGAGGGTAATACTCTACTTTATATTAACCTTATGTCTACGTTGTCTACTGTGTATCTATCTTATATATACTTTGTGTCTACCCTGTGTCTGCCTTATTTCTTTAATGTCTACTTTACATCTACATTGTGTTTATTTGGTTTCTACCTTGTATCGACCTGTTATCTACTATGTACGTACTTTGTGACTCAGGGATGGTAACACCAAGATGGTAGTAGGACGTGTCTAAGAAATGGTTGAGTCAGACTGGTGATTCAACCTCTTGGCACCAAGGCTGCTGTTCTGGAAACTGCCAAAATGACTTGGCCGTAGCACCTATTCCTGGCCTGGCACTGGCACACCCTATACCATACATCAGCTGACAGCAGATATGCGATGAGTGTACATACCAAGTGCTGACAGCATAAACGAGCTATGAGTATTGACAACAGATATATGCTAAGAGCACACGCAAAGAATGCTGATAGCATATATAAATTTAGAGTGCACATTAAGAATGCTGACAGCAGATATATGCTAAGGGTACACACCAGAGTGCGGACAATAGACATGTGATGAGAGCACACACAAAAAAAATAATATTAGGGATAACCTGTAATCATTCGTAAGGTGCATCTGTTCCCATTCGTAGGGTACATCCGTTCCTTTCATAGGGTACATCCGTTCCCATTCATAGCAAACATCTGTTCCTATTCGTAAGGTACATCTGTTCTCATTCATATGGTACATCTGTTCCCACGAATGTTTTTTTTTTTCGTGTATGACAAAACATGTAGACTGTCCAAGGTCACTGAAGCAAGGTAGCAACTCCTTGCCAGACAATCTCGAGTTTTGGAGAATATCCTTCCAACACAAACAGCTCTTGAACAACATCCACTAAGAGCAGCCGACCAAGGAGAGCAAGTTCATGGGAAAGTATTGTAAAAAGAGTCAATGCTACCAAGACCAACTGACTGGGAATGGAACCAAAGCAACGCGGATCATGGATATCAAAGTGGACTACCATTGGCCAAGCTCAAACTAAAACTACCAAAAGGGTGTGCAGGGATCTGTGCAAGTGCAACTAGGCCATTAAGACTGATGGACTGAACATATCGACTCTAAGCTGAGGGACTGATTACCTCGAACTCCTCCTCATCTTCCACCTTTCTCTGTACTGGACTGATAAAGTCACTGGCTGGTGAAACATTTCCACTATAAACATAACAAGGCGTTGCACATGTGTCTCAGTTATCCCCTATAGTACTCGAGTTTATAAATAACAAAAAGGCACAATACCGTGACTGGAACGATACACAAATAACCCGCACATAAAAGAGAGAAGCTTACGACGACGTTTCGGTCCGACTTGGACCATTGACAAAGTCACACTAACAGAGGTGGAGCAGGACGGCTATATATATATAATGCTCCAAACTTCAGAACACCCGTGACTTAACCTGAATCCTCATTTCTTCTTCTTCTTCTTCTGCTTCTTCTTCTTCTTCTTCTTCCCCTTTCCTCTCTCCTTTTCTCCTCTGGGTTGTCTTTCTCTCTCCTGTCTCGTGTTTCTGTTCCTTCTTCATTTATTTTATTTCACCACTTCCCCTTTCACGCACACCGGTGCGCTTGCTCTCCCACTGTGGGCATCTAGCTCTCTTGCAGTGCTCCCCTTCCTTTGCATTTGACTGGCTCGTCTTCCTTATTTCCCACTTCTACCACTACCACTACCACTACCTCTTCTTCTTCTACTACAACTACTGATGAAATTAAGACACATGTGCGGCGTCTGGTTGTCTTTGTTGTGGACGTTTCGCCATCCAGTGGCTGGCTGGATGGCGAAACGTCTACGGTGGGGATGCCCGGGTGTTGTGCATGTGTCATTTCATCCTGTCGGTATTATATACAATTCTTGTACTACTACTACTACTACTACTACTACTACCTCCACCTCTTCCTGCCTATATATATAGCCGTCCTGCTCCACCTCTGTTAGTGTGACTTTGTCAATGGTCCAAGTCGGACCGAAACGTCGTCGTAAGCTTCTCTCTTTTATGTGCGGGTTATTTGTGTACTCGAGTTTACATTGCTGAAACTGAAGGAGTCTTCCCGCACTACTACGCGAACACAAATACACCTGAAAAACGAAGAACATCAACATTGTATGTGTACAACACTGCCACATCAAGGCGTGGGACAGAGCCAGGTAACTCTATCAAGAAAACCACAATTTTAATCGTACGTATTTGACTCTTCTACAGTAATCCAACTAAATAAATATGTTCACTTTGGTGACTCCCATAATGTTCACTTTGGTGACTCCCATAATGTTCACCTTGGTGACTCCCATTATATACTCATTTTGGTGACTCCCACAGCACACCTCATCTTGGGACAAAGGAAATGTAGCATAGGCCAGTAGATCTCTCGCAGTGAAATCACTCAGAATATATACATGTGACCAGGATGCTCAATATATGCTGTAATTTTTCCTCAGTGTTCTAAGTACTTGTTAAAAACTCACTCCTGGGCTTTAATAATCATTAAGAGTCTGTTTAACACTTGACATTACGCCTTTGTTCATTATACAAGGATAGCACACGTAGTTACAGCAGCAGCAGCAGCAGCAGCAGCAGTAACAATAATAACAACAGCAACAACAGTAATACACCACAACAAGATACAAAAAGAACAACCGTAGCAGCAAGAACAACAACAGCATCACCAGTAACAGAACGGGAACAGCAATAACAACATAGCAACAACAGCAGAAGCAACAACAGCAAGAGTAGCAACAACATCAGCAACAGGAGCAATAGCAATAGTAACATTTTTATTAACAATAAGTAACATTAACTGAAATAAGAAAAGGACAAACAAAAACAAATAAAAGGCAAATATTTTGTCGTGGAGGATACAACAACAACAACACGAGGGACACAGACACGAAGAACAGTGGGTAAGTGTTTAAAATAAGTGGTCCATGTAACCCACAACACCCGTGAATAAGACACACATTATGCGGAATATGGCACCTTATTGTGAAGACGATCAGTCCACGAGGGTCTTTGGTCGTAAAGTCCGGTGGACGAAACCTCTTCACAACAACCATAGCTCGCATTGCGTGTCTTGAATATGATAATGGTATACAATACCGACAAGTTGATAAGTAAGACACATGCGTTAGGTATATTGAATCCGAAACGTTTCGCCTATACAGTTAAGATACCTGTTGCACATGTGTTTATCAATGTGTGTCTTATTTGCATACAGTCAGTATATTCTACCTTTGTATTGTTAGGCACAACACCAAGACAAGGAAATTAAAGAGCCTTTCTACAGGAAGATGACATGTTCACTACGTCTTAAAATACTGAACTAGAATCAGACATACTATACAACAAACTGGAAATATATCTAAACCCATGGAGTGAAATGAGAGTATGAGCTTTGACCTAGATGAGAAACTTGCGAATAAAGATCAAAGTATTCTCGTAGGACTGCAATGGAATATATAACATTGACAGACTGACATGGTGAAACATGCACTGAGAAATTCCGTGGATGTGTCGTACCATTGGGAACACCAGTGGAAACATTACTTCACCAATACTCATTACGTTTAACGCATGTAAGAATATTTCCGCAGAAAAAGTGGGGAGGTTCAATTCGCAACAGAGATGAGAATATCACATTACAGCTACACTTAGATATTATGCAGTGAATGCTATCAACGCTAACGTTCCTGCTGGGACATTCAGGGTTGAGGAATTTCCACAGATACTCTTTGAAGAGCCCACTCTCATGGTGCTAGACATCCCTTGCTTGGATCAAAAGACACAAGAATGTTAATAGCATTAGATCTAGCCCACAAATTGGCAAATACAAGAGTGAATTTCAGGATGCTGGGCAGCTCTCAGCCCACCAACACTCGCAGGGGCACCATTGATTATTCATGGCTCTTTGGTTACATGCATAGGAAAGTCTCCTCTGAGAGTGTTGCCTCTCTGACCTATGATCACAGAGACACACTCACCGAAGCCAATATTGTACGGAAAAAAAGTCAGGTGGAAAGAGCTAGTACTTGAAGAGAAAAATATCGAAGCTTTCATCAGTGATATTAGTAAGTGGTATGAAAAATAACTGCACAAGGGCAAATAGTCGAGGACTTTAATCGAGCAATTTAAAAAATTATAAGGCTAGAATGTGAAAAAAAGGGAAATGAAAAGGAGTCTGGATTACTGACAGGGCTGGAAAGGCACCAGCCCCCTACTTCACATAAAACAGTTGTCAAGGAATAATTTAAGAAAAACGGGAAGTGACAGCCAAGCTCATAAGCCTCTATAGAAAACAATAATCAGGCGCATAAGACACACGTCAGGTGTGTAATCGAACAAACAACAGCAAACTTGGCAGAATAATTCAGTAAAGTACAAGAATGTTAGTGTCTAGCTAGTGGCATTGTTACTGTTGGTAGTGTATTCATTTCACATACAGAGGGTCAGTGGCTCGATTCCCAGAATGGGTGGAAACGTAGGCATGTTTCTTTACACCTTGTTCATCTAGTAGTAAGTAGCTACCCGGCTATGAGTTTTTTGAGATGCTTATGAGCTTTACTGTCATTTCCTGTTTTACTTAAAACATTATTTCTTGACAACTATTTTATACAGAGTGGAAAGGCGGTGCTCCTCCAACCCGGCCTGTGTCTCAGCTATTACTTCCTCCCTGTGCTTGTCGTGCACACACACACACACACACACACACACACACACACATATATATATAATAATATATATATATATTATATATATATATATATATATATATATATATATACAAGGAATTCGCGAGAGCAGGCGAAATATACACAAACACTGATCTCTGGCTGAAGGAGACTCGAACCTACGAACCTAAGGACAAGGTACGCAGTGCTTTACCAATCTACCCACACTGGACAATACCTTGGCGTGTAGCTTGCGCTA